AACACGACAACGATCATGTTCAACACGACGACCATCGTGTTTGACACGACGACCAGCGTGTCGGACACGACAACGATCGTGTTCAACACGACGACGACCGTATCGACCATCGTGTTCGACACGACGACGACCGTATCGACCATCGTGTTTGACACGACAACGACTGCGGTGAAAGTGTTGGAGAAAACTTGTTGACGTCACCGATAAACCAGCACTGGACACGGCCGTCCACAGAGGCTTTTCTCTTTCCGTGTTGGCCGAAGCGACACTAACCTGGAGAGCGGGGCAGTTGTCGTGTCGACGTTGGCGGACCGCTGCGCTGATTCTCCCAGAACGCGAACAATGACACACTGTCGCAAGCCTTTTCGAAGTCAATAAAAATGATTGTCGCATTTTGGTCATGACGTCGAGACAAGTTAACTATCTCATTAACAAGAAGAATGTTTTCTTGGATGTTTGGGTTGCATATGAAGTCAGTTTGAGTTGGGTGAAAGATATCCTCCAAGACCCCGACCATACAATTGGCCAAGGCCAATGCCAACATTTTACAGACAAATGTCAGAAGGGTGATGGGTTTGTAGTTCCTAAGGTTTATCTTATCCCCTTTCTTATACAGGAGCATCAAAACCCGTTGTCCAACCACTTCCCCCATACATCCCTCCTCCCATACCTTTTGGTAGTATGACCACAAGTCAGAGCTCAGGATCGGCAACATGGACTCCCAAAACTCCTTGGGGAACCCATCAATACCTGGGGTCTTCCCTTCGTCCATTTGGTGCAGCGCTATCCATATCTCTTGCTTTGTCAGCAGAGCATATACACTTTCAATTTGTTGTGTTGACAACACTCTCTGTATAGCCTTAAGAAAATCGTTTAGATCCCTCTTCCATACTGAGACATGTATGGTTTTTGAAAAAATATCCTAGTGACGTGGGTACAATGTGACGTGGAGGTGGCTAGACTGTCATCCCCCTTGTCTAAATCAAAGAGGGTTCGATAACTGTTCACCTCGTTCTGCCCGAGGCCATGTTGAAAAATCTGGTGTCCATGGTAGCTTCCTGGTTAACATGGACTAATTTACTGCATTTAATTAGTCCTTGCCATCTTTGCTGCGAGAATTGCAACAATTGTTTTTTCAACTGTTCAATGTCCCGTTCTTGAGCTTGTGAGTCTGCCTGTTGCTCCAGATCATGGACCTTTTTGTGGATCTCTATCTTATGTTTGTTCCTCTGTGCTGCTCGTTCTTTCAAATATTCATTGCGTTTCCTTGCGATGTAGTACAACTTGTTATTTAGCCATGCTAGTTCTGAGTCGAATTATGGTTTTTGCTGCTGCCAGAATCGCCATATGTCCTTGATGAGGGATTGGAAGTGTTTGTCCAGTATAAGGGATGTGCTAAGTTTATACTAGCCCGACCCTTGATCTGGTCGTTTTCATGTTGTGAGGACCAATCCACACGTTTTGTAGTTTAGTCCCAGATGGGGGCTCCGCGGGAGGATAACCGCTAGTCGAAGACTCGAAGGGCTCCTTCCAGGTCGTTTTTGAGATGATGACGAGGTCGATACAAAACTTTATCTGCCTCGCAGGGTCGTTGTCACGTACGCAGGAAAATGTGCGGGCATTCGGGTGTAGACAGGGCAACGTGTCAAATACTGAGAGGGAGTCGCATAGCTTCCCTCGAATCTGCTTATCCTCTTCTATCGTGTGAGAAGGGGAAACCTGCAGGTTCCAACGATCAAGCGATATGTTCGGGGCTGCGTTGAAATCCCCTGCAATTACGAGCGGGATCCCCTCTGGAACCATCGTTCCCAAACTGTCGAAAAACAACCTCCTTTCACTCACCGTATTTTTGGGGTCATAAATGCATAGGATGAACATCACTTTCAACTCCAACATCCCCAACATATAGACCCATCTCCCTTTCTGCTCATCAACTTACCTTGAGTTTGGAGGGAGTCAGATTGCCACTCCTGCAATACCCAGGCCCGGACCGTGGGCTCTAAAGGATGTGTGTGGCCACACCATCCTGTGGGCGGCCAACTCCTCCCCCCAACACCTTTTAATTGGTCCCAACGGTGCTTTCGTTAAAAGTGAAATTGTTTTCATGTTCACTTTTTATTTTAATTGTAAAATGACACTAAGAACTGAGGAAAAAATAAGCAAACAACGAGAAAACAATGGTTATATATGAAAGTTGTTGAAGGAAATTAAACAAAAATTTTCACCTCGAATATTCACACGTACACAAGCTGCAAAAATGTCACTCAAGGATTGACAATCCACTCTGTAAACATGTCACACAGTAAAACACGCTAACCTCATCAACAATTGATGAGAAGTCTAGGAAATGTCATTATACATTGTCAACATATTTTTAAAATTGCCTACAATACACATTTTCACCCAGAATGTTCACACTAAGTAAACATGTCAACCTCATTTTTCCAAACCTAGAAACTGAATTTCTCATCGACTTTCCTATCTAACCATGGACAAAATGTCAAATGTTATTCTAAGTCTCATATCAGGAATACTATCTTGTGAGAAACCGAACGGAGGGAAGTGACATTTTGCAAGCAAAGATGCAAAACCTAACATAAAAACACCACAACTAGAAGAATCCTCTTGAGCAGGAATCCCATCTACTGATGTATCAAAGTAGGATGTAGGCTCCTCCACATGATATTTTTCTCGAAGATTTTGTCGCTGAAACTCTGCTCTGAAAAAACCTGCCAAAAGTTCGAGGGTTGGACCGTAGTCAACACGATGGAGAGAGTCTACGAGGCGGAATTTACACTCAGAGCGATCTATACTGACATAAGCTAAAACCCAATGATTTCCGAAATGGAGAGGGATAATTACCAGATCAAAATTGAAAAGATTTATGTCCTTCACCCATCTCGTCCCTTCGGAGTATGCGATTTCAGCGGACTGAGCTTTTGACAATCCGGGAAAGAAAAAAGAATTTAGAATATGCACAGATGGAATGCTACAAGAACTTTCATCTTTTGCCACTTCTGCACATGTCGAATCCACCTTCTTGATGTAGTCATTGGTGATCTGAATGGCTAACAGGTACAAATTGACGACTTCATCATTTAACCATTCTCCATCTTTGGCGGCGAGCATGGCGTCTTTCTTTTCCACCTTCCATCTCCCCTTGTAATCGACAATGCCGTATTCTTCATTCTCTTCAGTGCTGCCGGTAATCATTTCAAGATACTCCTTTTCTTCTACAGTAAGGCGTACTGTTGCTAAAGGAATCTGGAACGAAGGGTCATGCACTGCATACAAACACATATATAAACAACAATAGAGCGACTAAGACTTCACACAAAAACAAGTGATAGACTACATAAATATGAGTTCATATTGTTGGTTGTCTATCTGTTTCGTCATCAGTGTTGCTATCCATAACAGATAAACTGCAACCTGCGCGATGCAATTTCTTCCCTTCTGTGAGGCTTATTTCAACAGCTTTAAACATCCTTAAGGCAGTTGGCTTCACAGATGGAAATGTCATGGGTGTACGACTTCTTCTCTCATTTTTTGGCAATAACGGCAAAGTTGACAAAGCTTGCAAACCACGACGAATGATATTCTTCTCTCTCTTCCTTTGCGAGTGTACATGTGTCGTTTTCCACAGTTCTTTTCGTCGCCATGCATGATTGACAAAATAAAACATAATGAGTTACAAGTCCGACTTTCCGTTGTTGAAACTGACTCATGAGTACCAATACAAAATATATGGCAATTGCAGTAAGTCTTCATACAAAACAATTGTAGTATTTTTCTTCAGAAAACGCACAGTTCCAAAGCTAGGTAAATAAACAATACATCTGAGGGATCGACACAATGGGAGATGAGTGCATGTGATGTACCCACTAATCCGCATATAGTATTAGATATTGCTCCTAAGATAAGAAAGTGCTCACCTCGATGACTAACTCTCAGTTTTTCTTCAACACGACCTTTTGTCACACCTTCCATATGCAATGGCGCAATAGGAGATTCCTCGATAGTTATCATGAGGTTAGCAGACTGTGGTGTTTGAGGTTGTTCAAGCATTTGTTGAGGTTGTACAAGTACAGCTTCCTCCGGTGTACTGAGTACTATATGTCCTTCATCCTCTTCGATGCCCTGTACATGGAAAGTTTCTTCCTCCTTTACGCCCTCAAAAGTATCCTGGAAAGTGCCGCTTACTTCGGCTGGCATCGTTGACGACGGCATCTGCAATTCCGTGAGTGTACCAGTAATATCCACTTCCATAGCGACATTGTCGCCCACTAGTATCGTAGTCGCCCAAACTTGGTCAGCTGTACTCACGCCCTCGCAACTCACATCTCCTTTTCGTTCGAAGTTTTGACACTCACACCGGCAATCAATCCCTATTGCTGTGTCGGTTTTGACTCAACCACGAGTTTCTCCGCTCGCTCAAGCTGGGAGCGCTCCAATAGTGGACCCCTGCCGTGTTCGACTCAACCGTGTGAGCCTTCGACAGGTGAAACAACGTCGATTGGTTCCGAAGCCTTGCCACTTGTATCGACGATTGATCCCGATCCCACTGTCGGTTTGACTCGACAGTGAGTTTCTTCGCTTGGTCAAGCCGCGAGCGCTCGAATGCTGGACGAGTGTCGTGTCCGACACGACCGTGTGACTCTTTGACAGGTGAAGCACCGTCGATAGTTGTACTGCCCCCCCCTGGTCCCAAAGCCTTGCCAGTCGCACCGACGATCGTTTCCGATCCCACTGTCGGGTTCGACTAGACCGTGAGTTTCTTCGCTTGGTCAAGCTGGGAACGCTCCAATGCGAAGCCATTGTCGTGTTCGACTCGACCGTGGGACCCTTCGACAGTTAAGCCACCACTCAATCCTGATCCCTTGCGCCCTGTTTCTTGAGGCCCCTGAGACCCTTCGACAGTTGAACCACCGCCGCTTGGTCCTGTAGGTTTGCCATGCCCACCGCCGCTTGGTGCTGATCCCTTGCCTTCTGTTGCTTGACACCCCTTAGACTTTTCGGTTTGTTGTCGTTCCCCATGACTTGCGTCCTTGCCCCTTGCACCGTCATTTGGTTCCGGACCCTTGTCACTTGCACCGCTCCCCGATCGCAATCCTTTGCCATGCGCACCTCCGCTCGATCCGGATCCCTTGCCATGGTCACCACCGCCGCTTGATTTTTTCCTCTCCCCAAGATCTTCTCTGACATGCCAATAATATCCATAAGCCGGGCTGGTTTGTCTATCATAGAACTCTTCCAGATACTCAAGCCACTGCGATGTTTTGAACTTTTGGAAATTTTTTTCTGTTCTTACATTAGTCTTGATTGAGAAACCTCCGGATTAAGTCGCATGAGTCGCTTGACAATCTGATTTTTGACATGTTTCAGAAAGTTCGATCCTGACATACGTCTATGGAGGCAAAACTGCCACTCCCCTTCTTTTTTTATAGCCATAATCCACCTCCCTCTCGCCAATGGAGGTTGGAAGTGTTGGGGGTGCCATATGATGTGATAACCCCACGTGGCATCATCCGTCACCGTATAATCGTCTCGGCACACTATAGGCCCCGGAAGCAGTCGAATGTCTGCAGGGATTGTGTCTCCAATCTCGTACTCCAAAGGCTCATCAGGTGGCGGTTGTTGTGGAGTTCGAGAGCGTAGTAATTCCATAATAGTACTTGGGCTGTGTGCAAATGGTGCCAGAGTTTCCACCAACTCTGGGGAGAGCATTGCTAGAACATTCGGATCCAGAATGTCTCCTGATGCCACCGTCATCGTATTGCCCGCCATCTGAGTCGGTGTAACAATAGAAGAAGTCGGCGGATGAGTCATTAACTGATCCGTTGAAACCGCCATGCTCGAAGCTCCTCCAGAACCGGACGATGTGCCTGGAACACCCATTCTCTGCGAATGCGAAGCCGGGCTACAAGCTCTTTGCCTCTCAGCTGCCAAAACCGCTTGCAAAGTGCCATCAATACTCTCTTCTTCTGAGTCATCGGCATCAAAGTCCTCACCATCCACAAAACAAGTCGCATAACCTGCGATTGTAAATGCCCCGATTTGTTGGTCGAAGTACATTGTCTCCAAGCGGTCGAGAAATGAAACCTCCCTCTTCGATGGTGCTTTATGATAACCCCTCAAGAGCTTCTCCACTTTTATTCTTCTGAGGACATAAGTATGTTCCCCTCTGTCTTGCGACTTTGTTTCGAAGAGAAACTCCCAAATATTGACCACGTTTTGGCCAACCTTGTAGACGAGATCACGCCCTTCATCATATCGAGGAGGCGGCTTAGTAAAGTTGGTGTAGTAATCTCGAGTTTTGACCATCTTGTCAATGAACTGAGTGAGGAACTTGAACTTCATACCCTCCCCTTCTAGCACAATGCAATGACGGTGACTCTTTAACAACTCCCAAACCAATCCCGCATGACCTTTCCCGAGGAAAACGACGGCCTCATCCGCATGACAAAAATGCTCCAATGTCTCCACCATCGCATTCGGCTCCCTTTCCATACCATCATAGACCACTTTCTCCGGTGGATCCATACCTGCCATTTTCCACTTTGATGGTAGAAAGTTTTTCTCCACGACATCAGTCAACATCTTCGGCTTTCTCTCTCTCTGCACAAGTGTCGATATGTCAGTCACCCGCTCGGCAGATGATGAACCTGCAGCTTGAATATCTTCAAACAAGAGAATAGTGTTGCGATAAAAATCCCCGTCGTTGGAGTACATGATGACGACCATTCTGTCTGTGTCCTCCAAAGGCAAGTTTGCAACCTTATACACTTTCCCCTTTGTTTGTTGTAGACGAGTCCATTTGAGAAGATCCAATTGAATGTCCCACATCGCGACTCGCCTCAAGAATGTGAACTCGCAAGGGCGTGGAACGAAGCACAACAATGTCCAATACTCGCCGCCAAGTTTATCCATGAACTTCTTGAGTCCGTGAAACACTTGTTCAGTCCACGCACCCATCTGGGTCGGGCGGCACAAATCCAGAACGGCTGTGTGGCACGTCAGGTGTGTGACGGCTCTAAACATCTCCTTGCAATCCATCTCGTCTGAAACATCGTTCGGTTCCCACTGGAACGACACGAATACAGATGTCACGTTCTGTTTCTGGAAATATATATATCTCGCTTGCCCCGACATACGAATGCTATGCGAACCCCCAGTTTCAGATCTACGCAACAACTTGTTGACAAATTGAATGAACTCTTCGGGGCATTTGTTTGCAAGCGATTTTGTTTTCTTGAAGCCCTCCTCTCCTTTTTCATCCCCGCCTCCAAGTGTAGCCGGAAATGACCTCACCCAACTCGTTTCTTTGAAATGTCGTCGCTGGTCGATCCACCTCTYCGATGTCWATCCTTGATCACAATAMCTARMGAACAAATYAGAAAGGTTGTCGRAGAATRGTTCCTTCCACTCTGACGGCTTCTTGTGAGGGTCAGAAATGAAGACGAAGTAGTAAAACATTCTCAACATTGCTCTTTCCTGCTTCACCATTTCCACGTATGTCTCCATCGAATGTTTCCCGGCAGTGTGAGCAACTTTACTTAGCCTTGGAGCCAGTATGACACTTCCCGTGAGAATGTCTCGCAACAACTGAAGCCTCTCACGCCTCCCCAACGTAGACATAGCCTTCCATGATCTGACATCCGGATCGCGCACAGCCACGAGGTAACCAGGTCATCTAGTACCCTGAATCCAGTGCACTGGAACCCTGACTCCTTTTTCCAACTCAAATCCGGGACCAGGTCTCGACGCTTCCCCGATTCACCTTGTTTGGTGGCAGGCTTCACACCATCTCTCCTCGGCAACTGTCCATTCTCCCAAGCAGAATACACTTGTTGCACCTTCTCGAACACATCGCCCGTCGCCCTTGCCAATACCATATAAGGCCCGAGGAAGTCGGACCACTCCTTGCTCCAAGCCTGAAGTGAAAGAGTAACCAAATGATCACTCCCGATCGCGCGCAGAGTCATTGCCGCAAACTCTCTGTAATCCTTATTTTTGACGTCTGCAGCAGATCCGCCTATAGCTTCTGGACGACCGGCTGCTTGCCACAACTTTCGTATGTTCTTAATGATAGCAATCTGGTGCGGAGGAGTATTCCATTTGTCCTTCGCATTTTGGAAAGTGTTCAAGGTGCAGTAATTCTCCATGCTCCTATCCGGATAGTAAACAGGCCTTGCAGTCCAGCAATCCAAACGGAGCTCACGGGCGATGTCAGGGCGTTCTTGAGAACATTTCCTCGCCGCCGCAACATTGTGTTGACCACTGAGAGGGTACCAGTAGTACTTGCGCACGGATTGGAGATCGAATTCACCGGGCGTCACTCTTCTCGCCCTCACATTCGTACCGGAAGCGTCAATATGCATTGTATCATGTAGCTCAATCAACAAAAGGACAGGCTTCTCGGACAATGCACATACATTCACCCCGGCTGCCCCGGTCGTTCTCTCTCTGATAGCTGCCTCACCCGACTCAACCATTGTTTTGTAAAGGTCATCAATAAGCTCCTGATCGAGGAAGCGTTGATTATATCTGAATTTCTCATCAGGGATATCTAGAATCTTGTCCAACTTGACAGAAATGAACTGCATTTCCGGCCTCTGTTTACCATTCTCGTCGAACTCAAGGAAGAAGTCTTTGCTAAGATGACCAGAAGAATTCCCAGGCAGCAGAATCTGCAAACCGGACGGTCTGGTGACTGTCTTGCCCACAGCGTCTTCATCCGATTGTGGCTGGTCCGGTGGAAAAACGGAAGTTTTTTCCATCACACCTCCCTTCGCTGCTTTTTTTCTTGGCTGCCGTTTTTTCTTCATGGCCTCCTCAACCTCCCGCGTATGTTGGACGGCCTCCTCAACTACCAGCATTTTCAACTTGAGTTTGCCCTCCTCTTGCTTGGCTCCCCCCTCCTGCTTGGTTTTCTTACTGTCCAAAGCACTTCTCCTCTCTTGCCTGTTCTTCCTTTTCTTCTCAGCTAGTCGGGCTGCATCGGCATGCACCGGCTCAACCCCAACTTCGCGGTGCATTTCCCCGCTCCCTGGATCCGCTTCCCAATGCCCATGACCCGAAGCGAGCAGCTGCATTCGTTTGGAACCCCAATGCACATCTCATACCCTCCCTCGCTGGTCGTTTCCTCTTCTTGCCCTTCGTCCTCATACTCAACCCCTAGACGACCCTCCAATTCGCCTGGCCCACCCCTCTCGCTGATTGTGTGCTCACTCTCTACTTCCTCTTCTTCGCCACCCTCCTCATATTCTTCGCGTTCTTCATCGCGCTCCCAATCTTCCTTGCTGTTCTCCTCGTCGTCATCTCCAAAATAATGCGACCCAGCAGGAATGACCAACTCATAGCGTGGCGGGCGGACCAAGGAAACGGGTTCCTTGGTTGATGTTGGTCTACGCTTCACAGGGGCTGACGGCATGATTTGCCCRCGACACGGACCTTTCTCCCCGATCTGCCCAGATTTTGGAACTCGTGTTGCAGCAACCGTAGTCCGAAGCGATGGCGTTGGGCGGACACCTATAATGATTGGTTTCGACGACGGAGCCGCCTCCGCAGCAACCGTAGTCCGAAGCGATGGCGGTGGGCGGGCACCTATAATGATTGGTTTCGACGACGGAGCCTCCTCCAAAGACGACGAAAGCACGCTTTTCGGTTTAGATATGCGGTCGAAAGCATGCACCACCGGCTCATGCCCTGCGACCACATTTTTGTCGAAGAATGTGAAAACTGCTCGAAGGTCCGGCAACATCAATTTCTTCGTCCCGGGCGGATTGAAAATGTCATAAAGCTTCTTGCCGTACCCAGCGTGTTTGGCCCAACGAAGAGCAACGCGTTTGACATTCGCCATCCGCTCACCTCTAGCGTTAAGGACCATCGTCAACTCCAACATGGCGAACTGTGAATTTCCTCCACTCCACTTCACCACACCGCCAATCGGAACAATGTTATCTTTGATCACCACGTACAAAACCAGCCCACCCGAGGGTTCCCCGATTCCACCCACCCACTCCAACATCCAGCACCTGTCTTTGTGGTCGACGACAGAAAGCTCGTCTCCCACACCTGCAACGGATGTCTCACCAGACCTTTTACGCCTAGACACAACGTCCATCGTAGATTTCCCCTGCCGACCAGTAGCCTCCTCTTCTTGACCCGCAGCCCCACCAGTCATCAACACAGCCGAATCCGGTCCCGAACCTCGAACATGGGCGGAAGGAGTGCCCGTAGAAGGTGCACCCCGCAGCACTGGGGTTCGGTGGCCCTTAGACCCCGATGTGTCGCCAGCCCCCACGCCAGCCGTTGGTGTCCCCTTCGGTTTTTTCGGAGACTGCTCCATGCTCCCGGAACCAGTACTAGTACGTCGTTTGCTTGGCTTCCCCTCGCGATCCATGTCGAGTAGCTAGTCGCAACTGAAGAAAATGCACAAGCGAGAAAGCAGTCATTGCTTTGCCAACGTGCAAACACCACAACACTTGAGAACAAGAATAGACAGGAACACAGAGCAACGGAAACGGGCCACAGCCCGCCAGCTCGTCGTCGTTTTCACTGTTGTGTCGAACTCGACGGCCGTGCCACGACGTCCTCCAGTACCGTCGAATTCGACACGAGAGCGACATTGAGGTGTCGTTGTGTCACTGTCGTGTCGAACCCGACGGTCGACCAACTCGTCGTCCTGCTCGACGTCGAGCTCAGCACTGCGCAGGCTGACCAACCGTCGTGTTGGACACGATAGTTACACTGTTGTCTGTCGTGTGACAGTCGACCAAGCGGCCCTTCATGCACCGCCTGGTCGCAGATAACAGTGTCCATGTCGTGTTTGACACGATGGTCGCCAAACGGTGCCTGAAGGGGAGCTGACTGTCGTGTTCGACACGACAGCGACACTGTCGTCTGCCGTTCGACAGTCGACCACATGCCCTTACGGGCACCGTCTGGCGACCATCGTGTCGAACACGACAGCGACACTAGGGTGTGTTGTGCGACATTTGTCGTGTTCGACACAATGGTCGGCGGCTACCATCGTGTCGAACACGACAGCGACACTGGGGTGTGCTGTGCGACGTTTGTCGTGTTCGACACAATGGTCGGCGGACGGTGCCTAAAGGGGCACTTGATCACGAGAACACAAGACAACAGATCACAGGCACTGGTTAACACGGAGAAACATTGACTGCTCAATGTTTGTGCACGCAAAACATCAGAACAACGAGTTTTTTTTCTGAAAGGAAACACAACATGAGAACAACAATCAAACACTCGGCTGGCAACGATGTGTCGGTGTCCACAGCCAAACCAAAAACACAAGTCATCATTCCCGGGTTTCAATGAATCGAAAAACAATATGAGGACAACAACGTCAAACGTGTGTACTTTTGGGCACTGAACACATGATGAGAACAACTAGCAGATACCTCGTATTGTTATCGAAATAACACATTTAGAACAGCAATCGCAATGCGAATTCCACGAGGCTATCTATCGACTACGGGGAACAATCTCGCTGTTGCGGCCATTGCGGCCATTCAGTATGCCGTTTTGGCCATTCAATATGACGAAGGCTATCTACCGACTACGGGGAACAATCCCGCCGTTGAGGCCATTCAACACGCTAATTGGCGATTCGAAGGTCAGCTATTGCGCCGTCTCAGCAAACACCGAAATGTATGTCATTCGCACGAACCCGGAGTTCCCGACGAGAGAAGCACCTATAGCATCCCGAATTGAAACGACTTTAGCCTCGACCTCACGCCATGCAACAACATCCTCCACCTGGCCACCCACCACGATATTCAGTCTCCCATCTACCCTTCTTTGAACTAAACACATATCCCTCCCAGACATAGACAACTCGTTCCTGGACACATACACGACAGCATCGGTCAAGTTTCTTGCCCTGCTCAAAACGGCAATACAGAGGACCCTACAGAAGATAAAGTGTGTCAGACGCAATCTCACACAACAATACGAAACTGCTCCTGGCGACAGACCGGGAGATCGCAACGGATAATGATCGAGGAACTGAGAATGTCGCGCACAATCGAGTAACTCCTGATCCATAACACGGCACCAGGAGCGGGGCGAGGTTGTCACGTATTCGCAGTCCAAAACCCCCATAACACGGCTTATTTTTAAGCTTTTTACACAGTAGCGGCAAGCGCACGGAACGCAACACATCGAACGGCACGGGAATGCGTTTGCCGAATTCGAACATATTCGCGAACTCATAATCGCACGCCCACGGGCATCTCTCCGTCATGTTCACCCACTCGCACTCCTCCCACGAGTCCAACTGTTTGTCGCCAAACGGGAGGATTCTCATCCAAAGGTCGCATTCGAAGTCTTCTGGACAAGCGCCTTCATAGGTTACGTTGCCCTGACATTGTCGGTCGTACAGCGCACAAGGCGGGAAAGGGTGTGCCTTGCGTGCATGCCAAAGTGTTGGGGTCATATTAGAGATCTCCATAGCAACAGTGAAGAGAAGACGCCTTGCACGACACAAGGGCAACGGTCAACAACAACAATAGAACAACCAACAGCAGCATAGAACTATTCACCCCGCTCCCCCTAACAATGGAAACAAACCAGGCTGCACGACAGCACAATGCACAGAATCTACGTGCGCAATCCACGCCCATAATTCCACGCACACAACCCATGCACGATCTTTCAGGATACGACGTGCGCGGCCCATAGCACTGCACACAATCATGAACGATTCGATGACATTGCACCGCGCACAATCTTGTTCCACTAGAGGACAGGGAAGGATCGTGTTCGACTCGACGACAGGGCACTCACCTATCGTGTTAGATTCGACAAACGCAATCGACGATCGTGTTCGACTCGACGATCGTGTCGGACTCGACGATCGTGTTCGACTCGACGAACGCAATTGACGATCGTGTTCGACTCGACGATCGTGTTCGACTCGATGATCGTGTTCGACTCGACGATCGTGTCCGACTCGACGATCGTGTTCGATTCGACGATCGTGTTCAACTCGACTATCGTGTTCGACTCGACGAACGCAATCGACGATCGTGTTCGACTCGACTATCGTGTTCGACTCGACGATCGTGTTCTACTCGACGTCGGA